CCGGGGCGGTGCCGGTGCCGCTGCCGCTGCCGGCGGCTCCGCGTGGGTGGCGGCGGCGGCGGCGGCGCCGAGCGGAGGCTCCGCGGGGCCGGGCCGGGCTGCGGGGGCTCGGCGGGGCTTTGCGGGGGTCGCGGAGCATGTCGGCGCTGCGGCGCAAGCTGGGGGACGACTACCAGGTGGTGAGCACCTCGGCCAGCGGAGTGGGGCTGCCGCCCCCCAGGGCCGCCCCCCGCGGGAAGCGCCAGCGCTTCGTGGACAAGAACGGCCGGTGCAACGTCCAGCACGGCAACCTGGGCGGAGAGACCAGCCGCTACCTGTCCGACCTCTTCACCACCCTCGTGGACCTCAAGTGGCGCTGGAACCTCTTCATCTTCATCCTCACCTACACGGTGGCCTGGCTCTTCATGGCCTCCATGTGGTGGGTCATCGCCTACATGCGGGGCGACCTCAACAAGGCGCACGACGACAGCTACACCCCCTGCGTGGCCAACGTGTACAACTTCCCCTCCGCCTTCCTCTTCTTCATCGAGACCGAGGCCACCATCGGCTACGGCTACCGCTACATCACCGACAAGTGCCCCGAGGGCATCATCCTCTTCCTCTTCCAGTCCATCCTGGGCTCCATCGTGGACGCCTTCCTCATCGGCTGCATGTTCATCAAGATGTCCCAGCCCAAGAAGAGGGCCGAGACGCTGATGTTCAGCGAGCACGCCGCCATCTCCATGCGGGACGGGAAGCTCACCCTCATGTTCCGCGTGGGGAACCTCCGCAACAGCCACATGGTCTCGGCGCAGATCCGCTGCAAGCTGCTCAAGGTGAGGGACGCGGCCCCCGGGGGGGAAAGGGGCAGGGCTGGGTTGGGTATTAGGGAGAATTCCTTCCTGGGAAGGGCTGCCCTGCCCGGGGCAGCGGTGGAGTCCCCATCCCTGGAGGGATTTAAAAGCCCTGTGGATGTGGCACTTGGGGACAGGGGTCAGTGATGGCTTTGGCAGTGCTGGGGGATGGTTGGACTTTGTGATCTTGGAGAGCTTTTCCAGCCTTAATGATTCTGTGAAAGAGCTGTGGCCTCACGGCCCCCCTGCTGGTCCCCTGGGGACATCCCACCACCCCCATCCCAC